AGTAGAGCCGAGAGCCGGCAACGAGCACGCTAGAATATTCTATGAATTCCACTAACATGGCGTGTGCCGAAGTCAGCTGCCCCAGGCACGGGTCTCCGATGAGTATAAGCACGCGGAAAGGGACGTGGCAAACCCATCGTCGTCATCATCAGAGGAGAAGACGAAGAGCACACGGGAAAGGCACCCGAGGCAGTCGCGATGGTCGCACCCATCCGCCGCGCGGAACACGGCTGCAGTTGAGTAGCTGCGCTTGAACGCCGCAGGCAGAGGTACACGCCACTGGGAGCCCGTGATTGGCTCCCACACGAGGAGTTCCTTGGCGTCCTGGAGGAAGAGGGCACGGCCGTGGCGGCAGTCGAGGGACCGCCTGGAGCGGTGATCCGGGGTGGCGAGGAAGAAGGGAGAGGCGGTGGTGGGGATGAAGCGCTGGCTGGGCTTGCCATGGAGGAGGCCGAGCACGGAGGGTGCCCCGTGGAGCTCGTGGAGGCGGCGGCGGAAGCCGGGGCCGGAGACGCTGTTGCCCCGGTCCTTGCAGACGAGGGAGGCGCGGAGGAGGCAGGCGGGGTCTTCGGGTAGGAGGCGGAGGAGGATCTCTTCGACAAGCTCCCCTGGGAGCGCCGGCGGCGGTGCTGCCATGGTGGCCGCTACTCGTTCGCTAGATCTGGGTCTGGGTGTGGGTCTGGGTCTCAACGGTGAATTCTGTTAGCGTTTTTTTTTCTTTTTTTAGCACAATGAATTGTGTTAGAAACCTGCAGCAAGAGAGGAGGATGACATTCTACTTCTTAGCCCGGCCAGGGAGAGAAAGCCTTGTCACAAGTTTACTGAAAACATATATTCCTCAAAAAATTGTACTGAAAATATACATTTTTTTATGAAAAAGTTAAACAATGTTCCTAATATATACCAAAAATATACCGCGTGTATGAAAAAAGTGGTCATAATTGTTTTTAGAAAATATTAATCATCTATTTTAAAATGTTAAAGTGTACAAAAAAAATAAGCTCCTGCTGTAACAAAAAATTTAGAACATGTATTAAAAGTTCAAATATAAAAACATAAATTTTTAAAAAATGTTGATAGTGTGTAAAAAATTAATCACATATTTAAAAAATGCTAAACATGTATTAAAAATATTTCCGGTGTACACGAAAATGTATAATGTGTACGAAAAAAAGTAGCCATCAAACATATTTTTTGAAATATTAATCATGTATTTGAAAAATATTAAACAAATATTAAAATGTTCTTGAAAAAACACTTTTAGCTTTTTTTTTATACAAGTTCAATATTTTTATACAAACTCTTAACATTTAACAAAAACATGCAACATTTTATAATGTTATGAACAAAAATAATTGAAAACCAACGAGAACCAAAAAAAAGAAACAAAAAAAATCAAGAGATCAAAGAAAAACGAGAAAACGAGTGTCCTAAGTCACACAAACACTCCGCGCGCGGATGAATGGCTCCTTCCAGTATCTCCACTCCTAAACTGAGACTTGATAGCTTCCCCTACATGGTTTAATTTTGTCCGGGTTTTTATCACATCACCTCCCACCACTATATATTTTTTATGGATTATGGAGAGTATTATGTTTTGGCAGGAGAATCACGTTAATTATGAGAAGTGTCATCGAGTGTTGAACGAAAAGGTCACATTAATTATAGAGAGTATCATTCTTTGGACGTGAGTATTACATTAATTATGAAAAGTGATATTAAGCCTTGAATGGGAGGATCACATTAATTATGAAATGTATCACAAGGTCACTAATGCAAAATAATTTGGGAAGAAGCCATTAATATAATTAATTAGCCTAAAAATAATTATGAGTGCAATTAATTAAGTCTATTTAAGTAGGGATTTTTTTCACGCCAAATCAATTATGAAAACAAGTCATTAAGGCAATTAATTAATTAGTCACAGGGATACAAATAATTAATAATAGGAAGTTCAACCATACTAATTAGTCAGTAGTGTAATTAATTGTAGGAATTTTCCAACCCCATTCGGCTGAAATGTTCACGAATTTGAAAAAAAATCTCATGATAATTTTCTTTAAAAAAAATCATGGAGTCAAAAAAATATCCCAAGTTAGAAAAATGATTGCGACTTAAAAAAATAAATAATATCAAAATATGTTCGTGAATTCAAAAACAAGCTGGCGAGTTTAAAAACAGTTTGAGAATTTCTTAGAATGATGATGAATTTCAAAAAATAAAATTGCAAGTTCAAAGAATATTTGAGATCCGAAAAAATGGTCATGAATTTAAATTTTGTCCACGAATATGAAAATAGTGGCAAGGTATAAAAGGGTAAATTTTTAAGAACAATATTATAAAATGAACGGCAAAATTAGAAAAGCCAACAAGAAAAAACCTAGAAAAGAAAAGAAAAAATGTCATGGGAGCTTCCCAAAACTGGATTGGAAGCTCCCAGGAACTTTCCGAAAACAGAGAGAGAGAGCGCTGGGGGTGGGGGGCCGAGGGACAGTGGTGTTCCTACCTTCCTCACGATGCTTGCTCTTTTAAGCGCTTTCTCGTTTCTAGGTGTGACGCTCGTGATCCATCACCACACTCTTTCAATCGGAAGGGCAACTCCTCTGCGGGATGGAGCAGGGGCTCTGGTGGCAAAAGCCCTGGCTTTGGTACACAATCGAAGATCAAGAAAGACGGCGACTAAGAGGAAGTCATGGATGGATGAGCCGGAGAGTGACCTTAATCCGTCCTCTATGGATGCCAACGACCTCAGCCCTCTAAAGCCCATGGGATGCTTCCCTACTGGTACGGGGGTCCTCCTTGACCCAGAAGAGCGTCACTTCTTTCCCTCAAAAAAAAAAAAAAAAAAGAAGAAGAGCGTCACTTCTCGGGAGAGCGGCACCCGGACTCCATTGAGTGTTTGCCTGCATTCCTATGCGCCCCTTCGCGGAGAAGTTCCTCGTCGAGCTTGGCATCGAACTAGCTCAGTTGCATCCCTCTATGGTCCTTGTTGTGCTGCTGGTGCTAGTGCTTTCCACTTCTCCATCCTCGACCACCAGGCCAAGGCAGCACCCAACAGGTATGTCCCGGATCTGTTGTACTATACAAGAACTCATCAATCAGATAAAAAAAAACAAAAACATGCCCACAATTTGATATACTCCATTTAACTGTCCAAAAAATTCAAAGTGGCCATGAAATATATTTTGCCATAATTTACATTGAAAAGTAATTAACGTATGTCTACTAAAATCTAGGTCATCTCCCAAGTCTGGGACAAAAATAAAGAACAGAGGCCAATGCAAGAAGCAATACCTTTCTCAACTTCTGTAAAGAAAGAAAATCAAAAACTTGGATAAGAGTAGAGTAGAACAGCAAACGCAAAATGGCGGACACTTTCTGCAAAATTCTCAGTGTCCTGCATGCAACCCTGATAACCAAATCTTCCACCGTCTACTTGACGGGGAGTAACAGGGCTCGAAAGAAAAAAAAAAGGAAGAAACAGTGGTCTGGAAAAGAAAAAAGAAACAAATGTCCTACCATGCCAAAAATGGAAGAGCTAAAATGTTGCCAAGATCGGTAACAATCGTACGCTCGGACTATTATTTTTGCTACCTTTCTATACGCGAACACATCTACTGTACAGCCCTGGGAGGAGGACAAGGGAGGCGGAGCCTTTTACGTTCGCGTAGTGGGCTCAGATCGCCAGGGCTCCATCAATGGTGTCGCTCTCGTCGTCAGAGACCACAGGCTTCGTTTTCGACATGACTCGAGAGAAGCCGTAGCCTAGGGAGCTCCCACTTGTAGAACAAAGCTGTGAAAGAGCAAACAGAGACCGATTAATCAGAAGAAATTTATTGTTGTCTCGGCAAGTTGATGAACATATACTGTGTTTGTGGCGTCTACTTATTGTTTGTCCATCTGGATTGTCAAGGAAGAAGCAGACAACAATGTCCTTTTGAGTTTTGAGACATGGACAACAAACCGCTCTGCTCAATTAATATGAGATGTGGAGCTAGCGTTTTTCCACTAAAAATGTTTGAGAAATACCTACATTTTAAATCATGCAAATGACCATATACTGTATAGCACTACTCATTACCGAACGGCTAGTAGTTCTTCACAAAGCGCTACTATAACAGATGATGAAAATTCACTGTAAGCTAATTTTTATACCGTGTTCAATTCAAAGCAATTGCATCTTTTAAATATTTTTTATCTGTTGTGTCATCCATAATAATTTGATGGTTAAAGCGTTACGGATAAGATCACCAAATTATGATGCAACCACACACCTCCGTTAGCTCTGACAAATGACGATTCCTGAACTCGTTGATCGTTGTTGCAATCTCGGACATTGGAAGTTTTGCCTGCGATACAGTACATGAAGAAGATGGTGCTTACACGTCAAATTCAATACTTTTCTGAATGAGCACATCAGAACAGAATAATAGTGGAGCTTACTTGAGCAAGAACAGCAGCAGCCAATTGAAGACTTGGTTCTAAGGTCTCAGGGACAACCTAAAAAAGTTTTGAATGCAGTTTTATTATAAATTGTATAAACATAGTTGACGGTGATAAAGTATATGATTAGAAAAACTGGGTAGATAATGACAAGAATATACATGGAAAGAACAGCACGAGGGAGGTTGGCTACTAAATTCTTGATTTCCAATGCATTGAACAATAATTGTACTTGTCATGAATGGTTTTGACATGATTCTGTGTTCGGCCCACCCACCAGTAGCGATTATACATAATAGGTAGGGGCGCCCGCTTGTTTACATTCTAGTAGATCCACTTTTATAACACTGCGTTTCACAAGGCAGGTTGCTGAATTGCAATTTGTTTTGATAAACTAATAAAACCATTCACATTTCAAATAATTAGCCAAACCACATGGCCTTTCGTCATATAAGTTGCCCAAAATAATGTTTTAGGACCACACAATAGATTGTTTTGTGGTGTTTACTTACCGCTGATGCACCAGCTTTCTCCAAATTAACACCATGATCAACATCATGTGCTCTGACAAATGTCTTCACATTTGGGAAGTATTTGCTCAGAGCCCATACAGCTCTATAGTTTGCACCAGGAGTATCTAAAGTAATGGCAGCAGCACATGCCCTCTCAGCTCCAACTTTGTGCAGTACCTAGCCAAAACCAATAAATCATTGCTTCTGTGTTTTGACAAGCGTATAATTGAGTTCTGTAAAATTATGCATACCTCTCTGCTTCCTGCATCACCGAAATATACTGGTAGATCAAGTGCGCGCCCAACTGCCACCCGATCACTGAAAAGAATCCCAGAATTAAATGGTGGAAACTGCACTAGACTTTATCAGAGTAGTTGACAAATTGACTATTGATTATTGAACAAGCAGTAGACTAAAATAGATAGAATGGTAACCAAATTACACTAGTTTGTATGGGTCTATCATAATGGAAGGGGAACCAACAGTAACTAGAAGTAGTAGGGTGTAAGGTCCATCACTCCAAGGTCGCTACTATTTTCCTAGTTTCCAAGTCCTTACTGGATCCTTCAAGATGGTTTGCTGACAGATATTGTTTGCTGATATAGCAGAATTTAACTCTAGTTACATGTTAATCATCAAAGAAGCATGATAGCAACCATTAGTACACAGCATAGCTAAATCCTAAAACTAGCAAAGTAATTCGCAGACTTAAGCATTGATATACATATCGCAGCCATACTCATGGAGTCATGGATCAACACTTGACTGTAGTAATGGAAACATGTTTCACTACATTTGGATAGTTGTGTTACAAATAAGGTTATTTCCATATCCAGTACCATACCTTCGAACATCAAGCGCAACAAATGGAATTAACCGTTCTGACAGGAGTTGGGCGATGATCTAGCACAAGGAAAAGATGTATTATCAAAACTATTGAACATAGTAGATATAATAGCTCATGAGGATAGCATGACAAACCTGCCCAACACGTCCAAATCCCAAAATAATAATATGGCCTTGCAAGTCATCCGTCTACACAAACAAACAAAATTATAGCTCAGTGAGAATCAGCATCTTATAGGAAATTAAATAGATGCCGTAATATCACTTGTAAGCAGAGGAGATTGTACAAAAGTAATGATATTCTAACTTGAAGCAAACGTATCTTGCTTTGGGTATTTTTCACATCCGGCATGTACTACTAAGCTGGCAAATACCTCATATACAATTACTACTCCCTCCGTCCCAAAATTCTTGTCTTACATTTGTCTAGAAACGGATGTATCTAACACTAAAACGTAACTAGATACATCCGTATTTAGACAAATCTAAGACAAGAATTTTGGGACGGAGGGAGTACTTATCAACTAAAGTTCCTTATATTGGGGAAAACAAGCCGCTTGCATACAGTGCCCCTGACCTAACTGGCTTTTGGACTACTTATTCCCTTGCTTTTATGATTGTTTTCAGGGACAGGGGTCATATGACTTGCAACAATTAACAATACCTGTTCTAACCAATGTTGGCCTAACTTTTGCTTGTAAACATAATATCTATAACATTTTTGTGCAAACAGGCATTAACTGCCTGTTCCTTGCCGAGTAATGGCACTAAATTAGAACAAAATATACAATCCACTAAGTGACCAACCAATCAACGTCAATATTCAGATGGAGGCAGGCAAAGGGCACCTTGCTTTCAGTTTAGTTGGTTCAGAAGTGGTTATTAAATTTCTTTCAAGATACCGGCACCATCATGTAAGGAAAAAACTTTATTACTCCATCAGTATAACTGAGAAATTAAATGCAAACAAATTCCTTTTCAAAATAAATGTCCAATTTACAGATGGCCATTAGTGCTAGTAGTTTAGTACTGACACACTGAAAGTTACTATATCATATATATATACTTAACAAGGCTTCTAATGTATGCTGTTTTGAGTTATTAAGGCTGCTCAGTTACTTAAAAAGAAATACATTATCTGGCTTTATTATACACATAACACAGGAATGCACAGGGGTGTGCATGTAAATGCAGGAAGTTGGGCATACTTTCTGACAGTACGGATTCTCAAAGTCGGAGATGACGGTTCACTAATTTAAAATTTAGACTAAGAAAAATATTTTTTTAATTAAGCCATGATTACAGATAAAGCCATAAAGGTAACCAAAACAACAGGTGATAGCTGAGCTGACCAATGACAAAAGGAAAGAAAGAATATACCTCACTTTCCACTGGCAATAAACTCCTGACATCATGCTGCTCAAATTTTGATGCTAGAAACTGCCCTCCAGCAGCTAAATATGGTGTCATAGCCATTGAAAGGCCAACCACCAAAAATAATAATGACGATAATTGAGGCGATAGAAGACCCTGCAAAGACAGCGTTGCCATTTATAAAAATCGTTGCTCCCATGATAAACTCACGTGTGAGAAAGAAATATCTCATCTCCTATAAGGCTAACAATAGGAAAACACAAAACACGAGGTACAGTCAAAGAAAATAGTAAATACAATACCTGGTTAACGGCTTCTCCAAAGGCAACAAAAGCAAACTCCCCACCAGGTGCAAGCAAAAGACCAACCCGAACAGCAGCTATGGTGGAAACTCCAAACACTCTACCAATAAATGTTACTAACAGTGTCTTTCCAATAATTAAGAGACCTAATATCAAAGAGACTGCTGGGAAGTTTGACAGAAACAGCTTTGGGTCAATAGACATTCCAACCTGGAAAGAAACAAACCAGGGTAAGCATTAAGAAGGTATCAAATATGGTCGGAACTTACAAAAGGAATTAGAAATGTTCTAAAGTAATTCAAGCATTGATGTCCAAGAAACAAATTTCTGAAATGTTAATGGCATGTAAATCCAAATTAAGACAAACATAAGTGATATGACACCAATTATTGGCATTCTTATGATTCTATGCATGGCAAGTTATTGAAAGAAAGAAATAATAGCTCTATAAGAGCAAGATATATTGAAACAATAAGAAATACATGAAGTTGCCTGCTAGAAAAGAAATAAGATATTATTGCGTGTTGACAGCATCAATTGAGATAGCACAAATGATCATCAATTGTATTTAAAATATATGATACGAGAAACTTGTGATAATAATGAAATTCTGCAGTAAGATTAGAGTGGAGCGAAAACGGTTCAATATTGAACAGTTAAATGAAATGAATAAGGATTTCATGTTGGGTCAATGCATATGTCGATGACTCCATGACTAATGAACTAATAAACAAGAATTGACCTATTATGGTATCTGCAAAACTGCATTATTATATCTGCTCCATCACATAAGAATGGTACACTCTGCAACAAAATCCTAATGGTATACAGGAATTAATATCTAGTGAGATTGTCTTCAGAGCCCTCACCGTCATAAAGAATAGACCTAACAGAAGGCCACGGTAAGGAGCAATATCCGACTCAACCTGCAAGGAGAACTCTGTTTCTGCTAACAACAAACCAGCCAAAAATGCTCCCAGTGCCATCGATAAGCCAGCCTATAAAGAAATGTACAACAATATGAGATGTAGATTTCAGGAAAGCAGGCTCGGAATTAATCAAATAAAATACATACCCGAGCAGTAAGAAGACTTGTCCCAAATATAACAAGGAGAGTATTTGCTGAAAATATCTCAGCATTCCGATTTTCAGCAATTTGCCTGTAAATTGGCCGAAGGAACTGCTCAACAACGAAAATGTGAGTCAAACAGGTACAATCAAATTATAAGAAATGCAGGTGCAAAATAAAAGGACTAAAACGCACACACAACAGCGGCAGCTACACATAAATGCATGTTATGTACGTGTGCTTGTTAAGCAGGCAGTTAAGAAGAGTTATGCAAAGTTTCTCATAAGATAAGCATGCCAACTAAAATGAACGAATATACAACTCACCAAACGACCTCCAGCAATGATGGCAGTTATAGCAGCTATTGCCTTTACCGCAGCCATTCCCATAGCTTCCAATATTGCTTGGAACCCAACCTGTAAGGAGCAGAGAAGGTATCAAGGGCCATACCCGTACTGTTCAAACAGAAAGGCTAAACACATGGCTCTGGACATTAGTGCAATGAAATATCATCATATTCACATAGCTCTATACATTCAAGAACATTATGGAAGAACATGGGTTTTATAGTGCTCGGTAGAAGTGAAAATCAGAGAAGAGAGTTCAGAAACTTGGGTGAGCAGTTTATGTGATGTGGATTCTTTGAAAAATGTGTAAAATGGCGTGCATCAAGAAAAAAAATGTGCTAGCTCGACAAGGGAAAAGCACATGACATAAAAAGCTTACCCCTCCTTTTGAAGAATTAGGTGATATGAGTGGGATCAATATCAACAGAACCACCACGGCCAGATCCTGGATACAAATTAAGAAACATCTGTTAAAAAGAAGTGCAAGGCTGCCATTACCAAAAGGTCGACTCATTTCTTTCACTAAAATGAGATACTACAACTGTACCCATGGCCAAAAAACAAAGCTTATGAACATCACCGAAGGGGCATGATAAAGTACAATGGCAATAACATAAGGAGAGAGCCCTGAAAAGGTATATGTCAGACCATGCTGAAATTGTACCTGGAAAAGTAGCACAGAAAATGTGGCGCGTCCATGCCGTGATGTGCTCTCCCCACGTTCTTGTAGTACCTGGTGAAGCAAAAAACAGCAAGTACTCAACAGCAGAGCAAAAAAAGATTCTGATAGAATTTTGAAGAATGCAGATAAATATGTAGACGAAAGAAAGCACTTCAATAAACCAAGTCTATGCCTGAATATTCAAAGTATGACCACAACATAAATCCGGCCAATCTACTTATTCCCTGAAGAAATTGCTTCTGATGAACAACTTCATTTGATTATGATAATTGACTTGTGCTGAAAACCAACCTAGCAAAATTCGATAAATAAGATAATTGCCGGTTATAAATCATACTTGCAAGACGACAGCTGTGGATGATAGAGCCAAACCACTCCCAACAACAATTGCCGCTGGTCCTGGTAGTGCTGCAAAACGGTGAGCTGCCAGACCAACAACTGCTGTAGTAACCAACACCTGTCGATTGTTACAATTTGTCAGGGAGTAATCCGCATGGACAACTGTTTGATGATTATATAGGCATTGAAATTACCTGAGCAGAGCCTAATCCAAAGACATACTTCTTCATCGAACTTAACCTTTCCACAGAAAGCTGCAGATACAAAAATATATTAAACTGATGCTTCCTGAAAGAAGAAAGAATCTTTAGAACCACTCAGCTTGTACCTCAAGGCCAATGTTAAATAACAAGAACACGACTCCAAATTCAGCAATTGCCTTTGTTCCATGGACATTGCGGATGATAGAAAGACCATAGGGACCAATGAGGACACCAGCAGCAAGATATCCAAGAACAGGACTACCTAGGATATCAAAGTGCATATAATAACTGAGCATACAAATATACTGGTTCTTATCAAGGTACATACACATAGCAGATAAACATATCTCACCTCCAGGTATTTTCTGGAATAATGGTACAAAAACAACACTGGCCAGCAGCAAATATAGTACGTCAAAAAGCGAAGCTTCTTCCTCATTTACCTGAATAGGGCAATAAAGGGCGTAAGGAAGCTAAACTTTAAATTAGCTTACATGAGCGGTAATAGAGTGGTCAGACAAATGAATTATGAAACTCACTGATATACAGGTTCAGATTAAACAGGGACAAATACCTCTTGATGAGGTAAGAGCTCGATTAGCTTTTTTATTCTTTGTGGTAACTGCCGAATCTCGCGAACTATGGGCTTTGCAGTGGAGGTAACTTCTTCAATACTTGTGGTGGTTATGCCTGGCTGCTGAAACAATTGACTATTCTTCTCAGCTCTATTGAAGAAGAATGCCCTATGGTACACACACAAGGAAACCGTCATTTGAGAAAGAGCTGGTTCAACTACTGTAAAAGGAAGCACCCACGCACGGTTATATTTATTCCACAGAACGACAAATGGGCATACTAGAAGAGCATACAAGGTAAACAGATGGAGATATGTGAAATCAAATCTTTACTGCAAAACAGAAGCCAAGGAAATGTATATATCAGTTACCATGCAACTCACCCTGCGCCAAGAAGCAGTATCCCGGCAACAAGAGCTGGTGCTTGTTTTCTTGCTGATTTCATTAGCCCTCGGAATACAGATGTAGGTGTAAATTCTCCATCCGATTTGGAGGAGAAGAAAGACGCCGAGAAAAAACGAGATGACCTCTTCAACGATGATTTGGAAGACTCCTGCTTCTTCCCTTGCTTTGACTTATCTACGTCAGGTTCAGCTTCTTTCTGAGGCTCAACAAGCAACTTGTCACCGCGTTCTTCAACAGGCATTTCATTAGACGGTTCAAGTGGCTCGATGCCTTCAGCAGCCAAGTCGCTAATCTGCATCAAACGCTCGACATTTGACACCTCATCCCTTTCAGAAATGTCAGCCATGCCGTCACCGCTATAGTCATAAACATCAGAAAGATCGTCCTCTTCGTCACTCATGTGCCCATCAGCAGCCGGCACCAGCTCCACAACGGACTCGACCGCCTTCTCCGCCTTCTGTAACGCCAGCTCCGCGTCGTTCACGCGCTTGGCTGCTTCCATCTCAAGAGCCACGGCCTGCTCAGCCAACACCATTATATTGGAAACATCCTCCTCGGCCTTGGAGGCGTCCAGGAGAGCCCTCTCGGCGAGCTCGGTCAGCCTGTCGACCTCCTTCTGCAGCTCCATCTTCTTCCCCTGGACCCGCCCGAGCTCCTCCTCGCACTTTGACAGGCTGGCCTGGCACCCCTTGATCTCCTCCTGGGCGGACGCGAGCGCCTCCTCCTCGACGTCGTCGAGGCTGACCTCCAGCTGGCCGACCGAGCCCCTCTTGGCGTCCAGCGCCTCAGCGGCGAGCTGCAGCCGGGCCTCGGCCATGGAGAGCGCCATGGTGGCCTTGCGGACGGCCTCCTTGGCGTCGTCCTCCTTGCTGATGATCTCCTGCACGGTGGCCACGGCGGCGGACACCTCGGTCTGCGCGCTGTCGGCACGGTCCTTGAGCGCGATGGCCGACTCGGATATGCGCTGCGCCTTGCCCTCGAACATGGTGCTGTTGAGCCTGGCCACCTCCAGCTCCTTCCTGGCCTTGTGCAGCAGGTCCCTGAGATCGTCCACGTCGACGGCAGCGGCACTGCGGGCTCTCTCCTCGCCGTCGGACCCCGCCGCCTCGTCGCTGCCCTCGCTGGAGCTGCTGCTGCTGCCCTTGGTGCCCTCCAGCGGGCCGTCCACGTAGGCCAGCGAGTCGTTGCCCTGGCAGCCCGCCGACCCGGTCCGTGTGAGCCGGAGACGGGCGTGGTTCGGGGCGGCGTAGAAGAGGCCGCTGCTTGAGCCGCGGAGGGCCGAGGCGACCATGAGGTTCCCGCCCCGGCCGCCGTGGACTCCGCCTCTGTGCCGGGGTCGGCGCAGCGAGCAGGCCCCCCGGAGGGAGGCGGCGGCGCCGATCTGCAGGCCCGGGGGGCGCGGAGACGCGAACCTGGACAAATCCATCCTCCCCTGCACCTGGCGGAGACGCAATCGAAAATCAGGAACGGGGAGAGGCGGCCGGCATTATTAGATGGAGACGCAATCGAAAAACGGGGGGCCGCCGACGAGCAGTGAATCCGGCGGAGGGGCGGCGCACTTACCGGTGGGGCGGCGGGGCGGGGCGGGGCGGCCGTGGAGTCCGAGACGGGCGGACGAACCAAGGGGAGGGGAGGGGGGAGAGGTTTGTCAGGAGAGGAGTAGGGGGAGGGGGCGCCTCATTTCGGCTCTGCTTCTTCTCTTCACTCGCTCTTTGGGGGCTGGGAGGGGCGGCCGCCTCTTCTCTTGCTGCTGCCGCTGCCAACGGAGGAGACGAGGCTGCGTGTGTGCACTGCAGTCTGCAGATTGGCCTCTACTCTATGGTCGTCGTGTCTCGTGTGCGTGCGTGCGGGTTGCGAGACCTCCTGCGATTCCTTCCTCTTCCTGTGGGCCACCAAGGAAATGCTCGCGGCGTAACGGGATATTCCTCTTCCTCCCCCTGAGAAGTGAGAATGATCGGATCGGGCCGGGGTTGGTTGATCCATGCATCGCTTTCCCCCTCCTTCTGGGCTGGGCTGGGCTGGGCTGGGCTGGGTTTGGTTTAACGTTAAGGCCCTGTTTGGCATCAGAGCTTTGGGGCGGGTTTGAGGGGATTTTCCCGAAATCATGAGTCAATGGTACCTCTCGCAAAGGCCACTCCCACGTTTTTTGATGGCTGACGTCAAATGACGCACTGCATGTGTCACATTTGTCGCAACCTCAAGTCTTTCTGAGATTTCTTCCCACGCACGGAAGCCATGGTGAGTTTGTTTGTGCTTTTTTTATTCTTTTTTTTGTAATGTTTGATCTCCATAAGCTATAGGTGTGTCCAAATCATCAACCGTTCTCATCGTTGTGGTTCTTAAGTCGAGATCTTCAAATTTAGTTCCCATGTTGATAGGTTCGAATCATCTTTTTTTAGAAAAATGTGTGCTTTCAACTAGTAACAACATGTGCTTCCAAACTATACTAACTCGTGCTTCCAAACTATACTAACTCGTGCTTCCAATTAAACTAAGTTGTGCTTTGTGTGGGATGTGCGCTTTCATGCGGAAGCACATATGTACTTCAATTTTTTGAGGGAAGCACAGACGCACAGTTTTTGTTGTGATTCACGCGGAAGCTTAATTGTGCTTCACTTTTTGTTGAAACACAGTTGGGCTTACATGCAAGAAATACAGTTGTGATTCACAGGGAAACCAAAAAAAAAAGAAACAGATAAACCGAATCTCAAAAAACCAACAAAAATGGAGATAAAAACGAAAAATTCAGGACCAAAAAGATTGGAAGTTGGGAAAAAAATTAAACCCAAGAAAGAGAAAAACTAGAAACCGAAGAAAAAGGAAATAGAATAAAAACATAGAAACACAATTGTGCTTCACATGGATGCACATATGTGCTTCACTTTTTGTGGAAGCACGGTTGGGCTTTTCATGCAAGAACTGCAAACTGTGCTTCACATGGAAACCTAAAAAAATTCAAAAAAAACAATTAAAAACAAAGATTAAAAAAAACAAGAAACCAAAAATGATAAAAAAACTAGAAAAAAAACAAAGAATCAAAAAAATACATTAAAAACAAAGAGAGTCCTTTTCAATGGGAGAAACGCCTAGCACGCGCCACATGGCGGTGACGTAGCATTCTGCGTTAGAAAAGCATCTATTGCGGCACGCGCCGCGTGTCGGTGATGGAGTGCTCTGTGCTAGAAAAGCATCCGTTGCAGAAGGCCTCCAAGGGGTGCCCTCTTGGAGATTTGGAACTCATTGATAGGAGTCAAGCTTGAAAGCTTGTTGTTACTTACTTATTGTCAAATTTGAATCACTTTTGTCTTAGGTTCACACCATGATTGCATTAATTGATCAAGAATACCGGAACATCATTAACAAGAATATTGTCTGACCTATTGTCAAAACTATACTTAGCAATAAGATGAGCCACCTATTGTTAAAAATTATCTTTGTTTATCATTTACCTACTCGAAAATGAGTAGGAATTAAGCTTGGGGATGTTGATACGTCCCAAACGTTTCTATATTTTTTGATTGTTTCATGTTATTATATTATCACTTTTATATACTTTTTATGGTAATTTATATTATTTTTATGGACTAACCTATTAATTTATTCCCCAGTGTCAGTTCCTTTTTTTTTGCTTATTTTTGGTTTCACGGGAAATCAATATCTACAGGTGTCAAATTACGTTGTCAATTTTAACATGATTTTTTGGGCAACAAGAAACACAGGAAGCTTCGGGAGAGATTGAGATGTGCACCGAGGGTCACACAAGGGTGTCGGCACGACCAGGGGTGGTCGTGCCCCCTGTCCGTATGGGGGCCCTACTTACCGCCTTGACCTGATCCCACCGCCACAAACTGTATAAATACCGAAACCATCCGCTGTGCCTCCAGAAGAATTTTATCGCCGCAGCAAGTCTCTGTTTTGAAGAGATCCCACCTGGAGCCCTGCTCGAGGAGGAATCTGTTGCCAGAGCCATCTTCATCAACCTTGCTGCCTCCATGACCATGTTTGGGTAGTTCATTTAGGACCTAGAGGTCCATAATAGTAGCTAGATGGTTCTCTCCCTCTCTCTTGGATCTTCAATTCCATGTTCTCGTTCTTGATCGAGATATATTCGATGTAATCGGTGGTGTGTTTGTTGGGACATGATGAATTGTCACTTTATGATCAGATTGTTCATTAAAATCAATTGAATCTATTTGGGTTTTGTTGCTGCATAATTAGATAGCGTGTATGCTCTCCGATCTATCTATCTTCTTTGGCCAAGTTTGATGGGTTTTTCTTCAGAGGGGGTTGTGCTTTGTAGTGGGTTCAATTTTCGGTGCTCTAACCCAGTGAAAAAAAGTACCAAGACACGTATTGTATTGTTGCCACTAATGGTAAAACGATAGGATTTTCATATTGATTGACTTCTTTTTGTCTACCTTATCTCATCTTTCTTATTATGATACTTTGTTTCTTGCAAGCTTAATACCTTAAGATGCATGCTGGATAGCACTTTTGGGGTGGAGTATTAGTAGTAGATGCAATTGGATTAACGGTCTATTTATTACGGACGTAATGCATATATGAGATCATGCCTACTCACAAATATTGCAATCTTTTCAATTGCTCAACTTTAATTTGTTTACCATACCCTTCACCTATTTGAGAGAGAGAGAGAGAGATACCACTGGTGGACCTATGGCCCCCAGGTTCATTCTCCATTAATAAAATCTTCTACCAAAATTGCTCTTTTACTTACTTGACTTACCACTATATATCTCTATTTGCTTTTAATCTTGTAAATAGCAAGAAAAGGGCCTTCACAACCCTCTTTCCAGTTGGGTGCAAGGTTTTATCTTATTTGTGTGCAGATGTTGTTTATCTTGTTAGCTTAGAAGCTCCTACTGGTTCGATAAACCTTGGTTCTTAACCAAGGAAAAAATTTGCTGCTATCTACTTCACCCTTCCTCTTTGGGGAAACCCAACGACTCATGCGGGAGTAGAACTTATGCAGCATGATTGTCATACATGATCAAGCTAACTAGAAATCCTTGATACTCCCATTTCGGCTCTTGAACATACAATGGTCATTTTGGTTCTATTGTGTTAAGATGTAGGTGTGGATGATCTTGTGATGATTTTGGTCTGGTGTTCTTGTTGGGAAACGTAGTAATTTCAAAAAAAATTCTACGCACACGCAAGATCATGGTGATGCACAGCAACGAGAGGGGAGAGTATCGTCTACGTACCCTCGTAGACCGTAAGCGGAAGCATTATGACAACGTGGTTGATGTAGTCGTACGTCTTCATGATTGATCGATCCAGCACCGAAGTTACGACACCTCCGCGATCTGCACACGTTCAGCTCGGTGACGTCCCACGAACTCATGATCCAGTAGAACTCATGATCTGCACACGTTCACCTCTTGATTTTTCGATCAAGTTGGTTTTCCACTTCATCTTTATAGATCTTGAAAAAGTTCAAAGCCTCATCCTTAGATTTCAGAAGATACACATGGCAGTATCTAGTGGAGTCATCAATTAACGTCATGAAATATTTCTTTTTACCTTTTGTCAAAACACCATTCATTTAACATAGATCTGAATGTATGAGCTCTAGTGGTGCAAGATTTCTCGTTTCCGCAGTCGTGTGAGACTTACGAGGTTGCTTAGCTTACACACACACACTTGACACTTAGATCCCTTGATAGTGGTGAAACTAGGGATTAAGTTCAACTTCGCTAGTCGCGACATGCAACCAAAGTTAACATGACAAAGACGTGAATGCCACACATTTGATTCACTATTGTTGCAAATATGATTAACAACTTTATTGCAAACGTCTGATAAGAATAAACGAAACAGGCCTCCTGACTCATAGCCTTTACCAACAAAGGTTCCATACTTGGATATTATAAATTTATTCGACTCAAAGACAAGCTTGTAGCCATCTCTACACAGAAGAGATCCGCTAACAAGATTTTTATTGACGGAGGGGACATAATGCACGTTTTTCAGCCGCACGATCTTCCCCGAAGTAAACTTCAGATCGACCATGCCAAAACAGAAGCACTTGAACCGTTGCCCATCAGCACGGTTGAAGTCCCTGCGGTCTAATAAGACGAAAACATGGAAATATCACCGCATACATGCACATTAGCACCAGTGTCAATCAACCAGTCAGGAGAATGACATACTGAAAGAATAGTGGGAAATATACCATATCCAGCATCCTTCATGTCAGTGTCTCCAATGACAACATTAGCGGTCTTCCCGCCTTTTCCAGGATGACGCTTGTCATAGCAATTAGGACAACTAGGAGCCTAATGATCAGGATGCCCACACATATGACAAGCACCTTTCTTCTTGCCATTCTTCTTCTTGAAGTTCGTGTGTTGCACATCCTTGTTCTTCCCATCAAACTTTGCTTTACCATCAAACTTGCCC